TTTAAAGAGCTAGAAAGCAAGGATGCCACTAAAAAGACAAAGGCCTTAATATTTTCAATGGTTTCACACGCACATGAAAGTTGGACAAAGACTGAAGAAAAAATTGATGTATTTGAATTTGTGGTGTTAGCAAAGAATACTGAAATTGCACGAACTGTGAGAAGAACAATAAATTTGTTTTGGAAGATATGCAGACAGTGTTCTAGGAAGCAAGGATGGTGATACTGTTTCACATACTTTGGGTCTTTTTCCAGGAAGGTCAGGCATTTTTCCAGGAAGGTCTCCCTCCTTCCACAACCACTTCTGAATTCAGTGAAAACAGAATACCCTCAAAAAGATGGACTGACAGAGTGACTGCAATAATGGGCTTAAGCACTCTTGAATTCGTGAGGATGGCAGATGACAGAGGAAGGTTCCTTTCTGCTAAACCCAGGGTCACTGTGAACTGGAGCCATGGAAGGGTATCTAACAACAACTCACTCCCTGATGGTAGTTACAGACTATGATTAGAAAGACCATACTAAGCCATTTGCTGTATGGAAGCACTTAGGTCACGGTCATGAAAAGTTAGGGAAGCAGTGCTTGATACAGTGAGAAAGAGAAGATTCAGATTATGAAAAAGTTGTAAATGTTAGAATAAGTAGCAGTGATATAATTCACAAGACAAAAGAGAGTATCATAATTACAGTGGCACTTCTGTAAACATTCACTAAATATTCACAAGGTCCTAGTGACACAAAATGAGAACAGTGGTTCCTGACTTTTTGGGGGTAATCCTGCCCTCCACCTGTTTGCACACAAATCCATTTATCTTTTCCTTGCTCTGCACCTCCTAAAAGGGTGACCTCTACGGCAGCTGACTTGATAAGCACTAAAGAAGAGTCTGAGAAGCAGCCAAAATTTTTTTCTACTCCTGCCTGCCAGGGCAGTAATTTCTGTATGATTTCAATTTTCTTACTACTAAAGACGTCTATGTCCTGTCTTCTACAGAGTCAAATCTGCCTCATCTTTCTTGTTCATTTCTTCAGGGCAGTTATGTGCTGTCTTTTTTATTCACACTTAATTCTACAATGCTGGTGTTGTCTTCAAGTTGAGCACAATTCATAGCGACCCTATGAACAAAAGGCCTGAAGCCCAATGTCTGACTAACCCCTTACTGCATATTGTCTTTCCTTTCACACAATTTTATAAATTTCTATTATCTCTTTGCCCATTAATTCCAGATTAAGAATATGGAGTAAAACAAATATGTAGGTAAACACAAAGCTATATAACCATGGTTAAAGGATTAGAGAAATTATGGATGATGCTATGGAAACAGTTAAGGAGAAAAATACTAACAGTACCTTCCATAAAAGTTTTCCAAGATCAGGAATGACCTAAAATATGAGTACAACTACATGAGAAAGACAAAAAATTACTGTAAGCAGGGGAGTGGGGGAATTAAAAAAATATAGCCTATCATACCCGAAGCACATAGTAGATGGCAAAAAGTTGAGAAAGATTAGAAATACTTTCATAGACTACCTTCAGTGATACTGGATACTGTGGTTGTCATACAGTTAGTTCCAACTGTTACAGGCAAATTTAACACCACACTGGCCTTGAGCCAACCTCCCCCCTAGCACAGTACCCTCTTGGAAAAGTAAAAGAAAAAGTCTTTCATTGTTTTTACAAACCCTCCCCCAGGTCTACTCCACTATGCAACCTTCACTCTGGACTCCTGTTATGACAAAAATACCTAATTACATATCCCTTTTAAACAGTTTTCTCCCTCATCTATTTCAATGCAGTATACATTACTGAACCTATCTTTCTTAGTCTTCCCCCAACCCCGAGGTCAATTCTGTTTTACAACAGTGGCACCATGCAGTATTTGTCCTTTTGGGACTGAGATACTTCACTTAGCATAATGTCCTCCAGGGTCACCCATTTTCAATTATATTGCACGAGTTCCTTGTTTTTCAATGCAGCATAGTATTCCATTGTGTGAATATACCACAGCTTCTCTATCCATTCCTTTGTTGATGGGCACTTAGGTTGTTTCCAACTCCTTGCTATTATGAACAAAGCTGCAATAAACATGGGTGTGCACATATCTGCTTGGATGTCGGTTATGGTCTCTTTGGGGTATATTCCCAGTAATGGAATTGCTGGGTCAAATGGTATCTTTATTTGCAACTTTTTGAGAAAGCGCCATACTGCCTTCCACAGTGATTGCATCATTTTACACTTCCACTAACAGTGAAGAAGGGTTCCAGTTTCTCCACTACCTCACCAGCATTTGTTGCTTGCTGTTCTGTTCAATTTTGCTATTCTGACTGGGGTGAAATGATATCTCATAGTTGTTTTAATTTGCATCTCTCTTAAAGCTAGGGATTTTGAACACTTCTTCATGTGCTTGTTAGGCATCTGAATGTTTTCTTTGGTGAAGTGTCTGTTCATATCCTGTGCCCATTTTTCTACTGGATTATTTACCTTTATTTTGTTGTGGTGCTCAAGTATTTTCTAAATTCTGGATATAAGTCCCTTATCTGATATATCATTACCAAATACTTTTCCCCAGTCTGTGGCTTCCCTTTTTACCCTGTTGGAAAAGTTTTTGGATGTGCATAGGTATTTTATTCTTAGAAAATCCCATTCATCTATTTTATCTTCTCCTGGTTATAGGTTATTCTTTTTATATAGTTTTTTCCCTTGTCTGTTTCAATGCTATGTACATTATTTATCCCCTTTTCTTAGTTTCTCCTAAACTCCATCAGTCCTATTTTGTAACTAAAGGGAACTGTTACTGATGGGAATAAAAGGCATGAGCAAATATGGAAACACAGTATTTTAAAGCACTAAGTTTTGCGGTGAGAGATTTTTATGTGTTAATAAGGAAAGAGCTTCAAAAAACAAAGCAAGAGCAGTGAGTGTAGAAAAATTTGCTTTTTGAGTTTACATTACACATCTTTCTGCACAGTTTGAAGGCTTTTTAAAGTAAGTCCATAAGACATGAAAAATGCATGTGTATTTTAGGAAAATTATTTTAAAAACAGTATATAAGGTGAACTGCAAACAAATCTATAAGGAAAGACAAAAGGTCAAGTGAGAAATAATGGAAAGCATTATGTTCTAGGAGTGAAGACAGTGATATAGAAAACAGCGAAGAAAAAAAAGGCTTTTATAGGACAAGAATATTCCTGGAGTTTTTATCCATTAAAAAAAGTAAGAAATCAAGAACAGCTGGTTTGCAGAGAAAGAATATTCATAAGTGGATGTGAATTATTCAAACTGGATAAGTAAGTTTTCTTAGACCAGTACAATTTTCAACCTGGGGAGATGTGCTTGAGAGATAAAAATTACTATTGTTGAGAGTGAGGTTTACTTATCCTTCCAGACATACAGGAAGCTCTGGAGATATTTTTCAACGAACTAGGTAGGGTGGAGGTATGATGGTGACTGATGTACTAGGTTCCAGTTTTCTATTAAGCATCACTTATTAGGAGAATACCTCATAACGAATAATTTTTTGGCCCCAAATGCCAACAGTAAGGCTGGACAAAGAAATGGTTTAAGCCCATAGTCACTAAATCTCATCTCGATTACTGAACTACTAAAACCTCAGAATTTTAAAGCAAACAACACACATCAGCAGGGGGGGCGGGGAGGGAGTATGGTAATGTAAGTCTACACTTGTTTGTTTACATGATAAGAAACTTTTTACCATAGTAATAAACTATTTGGTTAGCTAATTATGTTTTCCAAGACTGGATGGTGATACCCATTTTCATCTAATGCTGTGTAGAAATTGTACATGAAATGGAACCAGAATGGAAATAAGACTGTCCAGGCAGCATTATGAACAAAGTAACCAACATGACTGAACAACTTGTGCAGAAATTGTTGATAAGAATTTAAGTTACAGAAGAAATGTTCAGTGAAAACACAATCAAATGACGAAAAATACATTTTTAGGATAGTGCTAAATATATTTTAAAAAGAACATGAACACATGGGTTTTTTTAACAGTATGATAATAGCTATGACTACTAAACGTGATCTCAGGACAGTCAGTCGTGGGACTAGCAATCATCAATGTCTAAATTACCAGCCCTGGTTCAGAGCTTTCCTTAGCTCACAATCTTTGAGGATAAAACCAGTTTACCTGTGGAGAGGCTACATCGGAGAGCCGTTTGGCCCTCTGGCGAGGACTTCCATTTTCACCCCTTGATACACAGCATCAGAAACTAGTGTAACAAGAGTCTCAAATTATTCTTATCTACACATAATCCCTGGGGAATCTAGAAGTATCCCTCGGAGACCTCGTTAAAACGTAGATTCTAATTCTGTACATCTGGGGAGGAGATGCAAATACTCAGCTGAGGGACGACCCCTGAGTGAACCAGTTCGAAGCCCCGAGTGACCAAAAGAAAATCTGAAAAGCAAAAATTGATCTCTGACTTTAAAAAAACCACCACCACACACCAACTAGTCGAGAGAGGACTATGAATCGGTGCCGTTTTAAATTGGAAGAATTAGCTCCATTCGTCCCAAATTCGTAGTTCTAAGGGTGAGGTAAAGAAAGCGCGTCAGGAAGGTCTTTCTACAGAGCTGGATGCCAGGGGAAGTCCTTGTTTTTCCTGGTTCGGCCTCAGCTTATGACATGGGAAAGTGGGCCCAAGGGGGAAGAGACACAGTTGGAAACTGTCGTCCAGGGGGTCCCAACGCACCAAGTGTCCAGGCCCGACTCTCCCTTCAAACCAGGGCCTTAGCTGCTGCATTCCGTGCTTCTTTTTAACCCTCCCCTTGCACACAGCCCGAGGAAAAGAGCATCCACACAAAGAGGCTTAAACTGCCCAAAGCCTTCGGCTGAAGGAGAATCATCTCCTCTCAACTTGTGGGTGGGGAGGCAAAAACCCCAAAGTCTCCCCCGCCCAGGGAAAACCTTGGGCTCCAAAGGTCCTTCCGTCTTGCTCAGCCTGGTCCAGTACCCGCCCTCCCGCATCCGCGCTTACCCAAAACCAGCCGGGCTACGTCCGAAGGTAACAACATGCTCGAGGCCGCAGGAGCAACCACAATAAGGGGCTGGGATATGGAAAAGGTATACACAGCGACAGCTCCTGCGCCGCATCTCCTGGTTCCAGTGGCGGCACTGAACCCGCGGCAACTTGTCCCGCCTCTTTTACTCCACGCTAGCCAATCGCCTCTGCGAGAGAAAGAAAGGCGCCGAACTGAAACCCGCCTCCGTTCGCCTTGTCCTGACGTTACTTCCGTCCTTGTGTTTGGAGGGGCGAGGCTAGCGAGAGCCGTGTCTGGCCCCACAGAGAGCGAATCACATGCAAGACTCCTTGCCATTGGTGGGAAGGAAGGCGCAGGCGCGTTTTCTCCGCCAGGGGAATGTTTTGGGAGAGTGTTTTGAGTGGAGCAAAGCGTGTGGTCCTCGGCGCGCATGGGCAGAGCCTGCGCCGACTCTGTCTTTACCCGGCTGCTTCCTTTGGTGATAGACGCTGCGCGGTCACGCCAGGTTTGAGCCGGAAGCGGGAATAGGTGCGTGGATAACGGGTTCCAGAAGCTGCGGCTGCTCGAGGGAGCAAGAAGATTGCTGATAGAGGCAGCCGCCTTCGCCACCTCAAGTGGTGCCACTTTTGGCTACTGCCAGTATCGCTAGCATGCATGGGGCTGGAGCATGATGATGGAACGTGATGATGGCGCAGGATAGGGCAAGGTTCTGGTCTGTTGTGCATAGGGTCGCTCCGAGTTAATAGTGGGCTTGATAGCTCCTAACAACAGCCACACCTTTACCATCAGAGTATAGCGGGAGGGGCGCAGAAGCAAGTTTTTGGCTTGTGCAGTGGGAAAGTCTGTCTTAGAAGATCCGCCTGCCTTTTGCTCCCTTGCAGCCTGTAATCTCTCCCTGTTCTCCGCACTTCTATTCTCATTGTTGTGTCGTGTCGGAACTGACCCATAGCTGACCTTCTAGCGGGTTTTCATTGACAGTAAATCCCACGGGAGGGGATTGTCCATCCTTCTCTCGCGGAGCAGCTGGTGGATTCAAACCCTGTGACTTTGGGATTGCAGGACAGCTTCTTTCACTAGGCCACCGGAGCTCCCTAGCGGATTTCTCTAATTACAGCCCTCCTGCACATCACCTTCAACACTTACCTTAATATACATATTTAACTGGTTGACTAATCTCCACCCCTCATAATTATTTAAAATTAATGAGCTTTTATTGAGGGCTAAATTCCAGTTTTGTATTTAAAGAACTTGGACTCTAAAATCATACTGCCTGAGACTGAAGTCTATTTGAGACCTCCCTTTACTGTCCACTTCTTGATAAATGAGAGAATCTTCACGGAGTGAGCATTCGTGTTGGATGCTGATCTTATCCGTTACATTTAAGTGAAAAGACAATTAGAGTTCAAGGGGATAATGCTAAAGAATACCGTGGTGGTTGACTTATTGAATGAGCTTCAGTGGAAACAGCTTGAGAAGATGGATTCTGTTTGTGGTGAGGCCTTGGCATGTCTTGAATTGCCCTTGGAGGTTGGTAGCAGTCAGTCTTTTAAGGCACAAGAGTTTATTCTGGCTAAGTAGACTCAAGAGTCTTTACTGTTTTGAAGTCTTTGCAGTGGATGAAATCAGACTGAGAAACCTGGATGAGTGGAAAAAGACTTACCCATCAAAATAAGCTAATGTTGAAGCAGACAGGAAGGAAATAATGTGACTTCTAACATTTGTTGAGCATTTGCTGTGTTCTAGGCACTGCCTTGAACATGGTGTATGAAGCCTCAAAATTCTTTTTTATTCTCTCTCCTCCCCAGCACCCCGATTCTTTGAGATAGGTATGACTCTTGTTATTTTATCATTGAGAAAACAAGTTCAGAGAGATTAGCTCATTCAGGTTATACAACTTTTAGGAGGCAGAGTCAGGTTAACAATAAAGACAGTTTGACTGTAGGACCTACACTCTTAATCATCAAGGATGGCATGCCAAGTTCAGAGTTAGTTAAGTCCAGGAAGGGATTATGTAGGCATCACTGTAAAATTTTGGAAACTTGTTGAAGTCTGAAAGGAAATGCTGGCTTTGCCAATTTACAGGGCTTTACCTAGGTGTAATTTCAGTTGGTTGTTGGGAGTTGAATCTAGATAGCTCTGCATTAGTTTATCAGTGGAGTTCAGTTTTATTTGGTGATACTGTTATTTAACTGACTTCTAGTCTCTGTCCTTTCTGTTCCTCCACATGGAAAAACTCTTAGCTGACTTGGGACACTTTGGCTCTGATAATCCCTGAAATGTATGTCTTCTAGCTTTTGCTGTGATTAGCATCAGATCATTTAGATCTTGGCTTAATTTTAGCCACTTCTGAGAAGTGTTCCTTGACAATTCATCTAAAATTATCCTATCTATATTTACTTTCCATTAATATCCTTGTTTCCTTTAAGGCATATTATCATGATTGGAAATTAGGTATTAAGTTATCAGTTTACTTATTAGTACTGTTTTTCCAGATACTAAACTCTTAAGGTTAAGTTTTGTGTCTCTTTAGTTCATTATGTTTCTAGCTATTCAGATGTTATACTCAGAAAAGAGTAGGGAGCAGCAAATATTGTTTACATGTGTTAATGAATAACAACTGTCTTACTTTCTTCAAATTTATCTTTGGGAAACTAAAGAGAAAAAACAATTCAGAAAAGCCACAGCTTTAGGAAATAAGTCAAATGTAAAAGGTACCTCCTCCTCTTAGAAGTATTGCATAGTTGTGTTGTGTACTGTCTCATGGGAACTGACTCATAACTGACCCTCTGTCAGTTTTCAGAGGCAGTTAATTGCAGGGAAGGAGATTGCCTATCCTCCTGCGGAGTGGCTTGGGGCCTCTCCCTGGAACAGTGTGCCTTCGGGGTTGCAGCGCAGCTCCTTGCAACATGTTAAGAATAAAAATAAGGGCACTCTGGTGGCCTAGTGGCAAGAAGCTGCACTGCAATCCCAGAGGTGTGAGGTTCAAATCCACCAGATGCTCTGCTGGAGAAGGAGGGGCATTGTCCTCCTCCTGTACCAGTCAGATCTGATTTGACGGTACACACACACACAGAAAATAATAAAATAAAATAAAAAAAATAGGAATACACAGAGTCACTGTATCAGAAGGAATTGGCTGACACAGAAGAATTTAATGAAATGACATATGAGCAAGAGCCTATGGTGATGAAAGAGGAAGTTCAAATTGCTCTGAAGGAATTGGCAAGAAACAAGGCTCCAGGAGTTGACGGTATACCTATTGACATATTTCAACAAACAGACGCTGGCCTGGATGCGCTCACTAAGTTGTGCCAAGAAATTTGGAGAACAGCCAGCGGGCCCATTGACTGGAAAATATCAATATTGTTCCCATTCCAAAGAAAGGTGACCCAGCAGACTGTGGAAATTATCGAACAATATCAGTGATATCACATGCAAGCAAGATTCTGCTGAAAATTATCCAAAAACGTTTGGAACAATATGTCAACAGAGAACTGCCAGATGTGCAGGCTGGATTTAGAAGAGGTCGTGGTACTAGGGATATTATAGCTAATGTCAGATGGATCTTGGCAGAAAGCAAAGAATACCAGAAGAATGTCTATCTGTGCTTCATTGACTATGCAAAGGTTTTTGACTGTGTGGATCACAACATGCTGTGGCTGACTCTAAGAAGAATGGGAATCCCAGGACATTTGATTGTGCTAATGCGAAACCTATACTTGGACCAGGAAGCAGTCGTCAGAACAGAGCAAGGAGACACTACATGGTTCAAAATCAAGAAGGGGGTCCATCAGGGATGTATTCTGTCTCCATACCTTTTCAATCTGTATGCAGAATAGATCATCCGAGACGCTGGGCTATACGAAGAGGAATGTGGCATCAGGATTGGTGGAAGAATCATCAACAACCTGCGTTATGCAGATGACACAACCCTGCTTGCTGAAACTGAGGAGGACCTGAGGCGCTTGCTGCAGAAGATCAAGGACTACAGCCTCCTATATGGACTGAAGCTAAATGTCAAGAAAACAAAGATTCTAACCACTGGGCCAATTGGCAGCATCAGCATGGATGGTGAGGAGATTGAGATAGTTAACAGTTTTAATTTACTTGGCTCCACAATCAACGCTCTTGGTAACAGCAGCCAGGAAATCAGGAGATGAATTGCATTGGGAAAGTCGGCTGTGAGGGACCTCTCAAGAGTACTGAAGAGCAACGATGTCAGACTGGAGACTAAGGTGCGCCTGATCCAGGCTATAGTCTTTGCAGTTACATGCTATGCATCAGAGAGTTGGACAGTGAATAGGGCTGATAGAAAGAGGATTGATGCCTTTGAGCTGTGGTGCTGGAGAAGAGTGTTGAATATACCATGGACTGCTAGGAGAACAAACAGGTTTGTCCTGGAGAGGGTGAAGCCAGAGTGTTCCCTGGAGTCAAGGATTCTGAAGCTTTTTCTGACATATTTTGGGCATGTTGCAAGGAGGGACTGGTCCTTGGAAAGGGACATCATGTTTGGTAGAGTGGAGGGGAAGCGAAAGAGAGGAAGACCTTTGGAGAGATGGATCGATTCTGTGACTGGAACGGTGGGAATAAGTGCGTTTGAGAGGGCTAGGTTGGCACAGGATAGAACAGCATTTAGAGCTCTAGCATTTAGAGCTCTTGTACATAGGGTCGCTATGAGTCGCAAGTGACTCGATGGCACATAACAACAACATAGTTCTTTGAGTATTGCTAAGATGTTTTCATTGCCCCAATATCATTTTTGTCACTAATTAAGTCATCTTTAAACTAAAAATTGAAAGAGGAAGGATTCTCAGACAAATCAGAGGAAATGGAAAAATGACAGTCTTTTGTTCTTAAGAAGTTTATAATAAAATGAAGATTGAAATCTTATAAATAGCTGTAGTCTATAATAAATTGGAGGAATAATAACTTACTACAAATGAAGAAAAGAGAGCTACCTGCTGATGAAATGGATCATTGTGTTTGGTCATTTGCCCTCACTAGGGTTGAAAGAGAAGACAGTGTTTTTGTGGAAATGATTCCTTCCTTTATAGAGTCTTTCAGTTTCTCCTAATTTTAAGATTCTATGAGATTAGTTATGGGCGGAGAAATGTACTTCATCCTGAAAAATTGAGTACAATTTTGATAGATGCATAGAAGAATATTTCCTAACTTTTTTCTTTCATGAGAAAATGTGCTTTTGGGTGTAATACACATGCATAGGTGCATTTTATTGTCACTGTGATAAACAGTTTAACAGTAATGAAACTTTTTTAAAATTTTTTCGTGTGTGTGTGTACCGTCAAAGTGGATCTGGCTGGTATAGGAGGGGATTGTCCCTCCTTCTCCAGCAGAACCATCTGGTGGATTCAAACTGTGTACCTCTGGAATTGCAGTACAGCTTCTTGCCACTAGGCTACCAGAGCTCCCCAGTAATGAAACTTTATAAAAATGCTCAGAATGAAAACCAAAAAGCTCAGCGTGGTATAGCCGAGTGCTTTTTTTAGAAGATTCTTTTTAAAAAAAGACTTTATAGGAAAGGTTTAATATATCAGAAAGCCTACAATGAAGTGAGCTGGTAAAATGTTGGGTGCGGTGGCATTGGAACTAACTCCCAGCTGACTCTCCAGTAGGTTTTCAGGGGCAGTAAAACCCATGAGTGGAGATTGCCCATCCTTCTCCTGCAAAACAGATGTTGAATTCAAACCACTTTCCTTTCGAATTGCAACACAGCTTAACACTAGGCCACTAGAGTTCCTTACGGTAGAATCATGATATTTGCAAGATATATCCCTATAACTTGATGTTTTTAACTTCACTTTAAAACAGTTTCATTTTCCTCCTAGTTCTATGTATTGAGAGCTATGAAGGTAGGTGAGATGTTGAGTGCCAGGCAAGACTAATTGCCTCTGATAACATCCTGTATATCAGTTCCAAATCATAAACAGGTTATACTTTTGCTTCGGCAAAATGACAAATCACTTCTTTAAGTGGTTCAGATCATCTCTGTTAAATGTGTTCTTTTCTTTGTTCTTTGATTTGCTACCATCTTGTTATATTTTGTGTTTGAAATTAAAAGGGATGTTTTTCGCTTACTATTAGAAACAAAGCACATATTTACATGGAAACAAAGCACACATTTGCGTGAAACATTGTTTTGACCTGTTCTAAGAATTTGATTTTAAGTACAGAATTGGTAAGAAGCATCATTATGCCTCTGATTTTATTGTTGCATCTATATGTTACTACCACAGCTGAAATTAATTTTACTTTCTTTTTCCCCCCACAGACATGATGCGTGGTCTGAAATACTGAACCATGAGTCTAGCACTTAATGATCTGCTTATTTGCTGCCGCCAACTAGAACATGATAAAGCTACAGAACGAAGGGTAGTGATTTACTTAGATGTCATCTTTCCTTGACATATGTATATGATTGATAATCTATTATGTTAATTTTTCCTTTTCAGAAAGAAGTTGAGAAATTTAAGCGTTTGATTCGGGATCCGGAAACAGTTCAACATTTAGATCGACATTCAGATGCCAAGCAAGGAAAATATTTGAACTGGGATGCTGTTTTCAGGTATCTATTCATATATATTTATATGAATATGTATATGTGTGTGTGTGTGTGTATATATATATATATATATATATATATATACACACACACATATATAATTTTAAACTTCTTTTGTTTTGATAACATTTACTATCTTTGGATAGCTTCTCTTATTACTAATAGCTGTCATGTGTCAAATTATAATAAAAGGACCCAGAGGTAGAATATACAGTTAATAAACAACCCTAAACACCCAGCAACAATAGCAAAGTTCAACAGGGCCACAGAAAACTGATGCTGGCGAGGTGTGGAGAGATTGGAATTCTTATTCACTGCTGGTTGTTGTTGTTAAGTGCCGTCGAGTTGCAGGCGACTCATAGAAACCCTATGAAGGATAGTCCTCGACGCTTGGGTGCCTTTCATCCTCCAGGTTCATAGGGTTCCCGAATGCAAGCTGTTATGGAACTGGATGCCACTCCTCCTTCCATTCACTGCTGGTAGGATGTAAAATAGTACAGCCACTCTGGAAGGCAGTCTGGTGCTTTCTCAAAAAGTTGGTTAAGGGAGATTTGGTGGCCTAGTGGTAAGAAGCTGGACTGTAATCCCAGAGGTGTGTGATTCGAATCCACCAGATGCTCTGCTGGATAAGGAGGGGCAATCTCCTTCTGTACCATTCAGATCCAATTTGATGGTTGTTGTTGTTGTTGTTGTTTAATGTCGTCGAGTCGTAGATGACTCATAGCGACCCTATGAATGAACAGCCTGAGCACTGTTCGCACATAGTCTCCAGAGGCAAGCCATTTTGGAAGTGGATGCTGCTCCTGCTTCCAGGCTTGATTTAGTCGGGAAGCTCCAGCCAACACTGTCCACCATGGGTGCCCGTTACCATGACTGGCACATCACTGTCACAGGCTTCAGCATCACATCAACCACAAGTTACCTCTGTACAGCAATGCACAGACCAGTGCGATACCACCTAGAAGAATGTTTGACAGGAAGACAATTTGAACCTGGCCGAGGGCCACAGATGACAATCACCCACCTTCGGCTTGGTAGCACAGCTTCCTTCCACTAGGCCAACGTAGCTCTCTCTTAGTCGTCGTCCTTGTTATTGTTGTTTAATGCCGTCGAGTCATAGACGACTCATAGCGACACTATGAACGAACAACCTGAGCACTGTTCGTACATAGAGTTTCCAGAGGCAAGCCATTTTGGAAGTGGATGCCGCTCCTGCTTCTAGGCTTGATTTAGTCGGGAAGCTCCAGCCAACACTGTCCACCATGGGTGCCCATTACCACGATTGGCACATCACTGACACAGGCTTCAGCATCACAGCAACCTCGAGTTACCTCTGTACAGCAACGCACAGACCAGTGCTATACCACCTAGAAGAATGTTTGACAGGAAGACAATTTGAACCTGGCCGAGGGCGGCAGGCCCAAGGGCCCTTTGGGCTCAAGGCCGCCTCCTGGTTCAAACCCTAGGCCCAGGCTGGCTAGCCTCACTCCAGGGGCAGAGCAAACCTGCACGTCAAACACATTCCCGGAAAAGCCGTCCACTCCAAAAGCTTGCCATGATTCCTGCACTCCCACCACCACGCTCCTGCCTTCTGGCAAGGAGAGCTTCCCACGAGCCTGGGAAGGCGCCAGCCAAACCAGGAACAACATGGCTGCTTCCTTCGTACACACACACAAAAAATAATAAAATTAAAAAAGAAAAAAAAAGTAGGTCAAATAGAAATACCATTTGACCTGGCAATTTTACTACTAGGAATATACCCTAAAGAAACCAGTTGTATGCACACCCATGTATATTGCTGCATTATTCACAATAGTAAAGAGATGGAAGCAGTTCAATTACCCATTAACGAATAGCTAGAAAAACTATGGTATATTCACACAATGAACTATTACACAGCACTAAAAAAAAATGAACTCAGAAAACATTACACAACATGGGTGAGCATGAGGACATTATGCTGACTGAAATAGCTAAGGCAAAAAGGACAAACACTGCATAACACAGCTGTTATAAAATAGGACTGATATGTGAGGCTGGGGAGAGAATAGAGAAAGTGGATAGGTCATGAACACTGCATTAGAACAGGTGAGGTGAAGAACTGTCTGAAAGGAATATATGGTTAGGTAGTATATGTATGATAGCAGTCTGGAACAAGGGGCACATTGCAAGGTGGGGTAGGGGATGGGAGGTGGGCTAGGGGAGGGAAGGTAAGAAAATGTGCAGCAATGGAAAAAAAAAAAACACCAAGCAAAAACTCAGGCACTAGGAAGAATTGATTGCAATACAGAACTGATAACAGTTTTTACATAGACTATCATTCCCAGCTATGAACATTAAGTATACCTAGAAACAGTGTTTAAGAATTAAGATGAGGAGCTCTGGTGGCCTAGTGGCAAGAAGCTGCACTGCAATCCCAAAGGTGCATGGTTCAAATCCACCAGATGCTCTGCAGGGGAAGGAGGGACAGATTCCTTCAGTGCCAGTAAGATCTAATTTGATGGTACACAACAAGAAAAGAATAAAAAAAAAGAATTACGTTATTTTTTAAAAAAGAATTAAGATGAATGAAATACTTCAGATTATTGTAGTCTCCTGAGAGGAACTAAGGAGTATGTACTTGTCCTTAAGTTTTAAAAATGTTCTATTTTGTTTTTTATCCCTTGTTTGATATTTGATTGGCAGTTATAGAGTTGAATACATGTAATGTGGGAAATGCCTCTTCCCTTTATTTTTACGTAGGTTATTTCAGATAATGCAAATGGAGTTATTCTCTAGAGGATGAATACTATTCTGCATAAGCAGATCTGGTGGGCCATATGTGGAGTTGCCACTTCTTGACTGGTCAAGAGGATCTTCTCTAAAGTTTATTTAAAGATCAGAACATTATTAGCTATCTAGGGGAAGCCTTAAGTTGTATACAGAAAAATAAGAAAGAAGGGAAAGAGAATTGAGCTCTCTTAATAGTGCTGCCAGCTTTTAATGATAAAATGAGAGTGCAAGCAGTGAAGCAGTAGAAAATCTTGGATGTTGTAGATTAAGAGCTTTGCAAGTCAGAGCTTGAATTGGTGGTGTAAGGATTAGGCCACGAAAGAGGATTTAATGAGTTTGTTTAGCTGCTCCATTGATCCCAGTATTGCATTTGGAATGATGCTTTCTGTGATGGCATATAGGACTTTTTGAAATTCTCGTAATTTGAGCATTAAATGTAAGCATTTATTGCATTTCTAAAATTCCATTTTGTTTTTTCTTGAAGATTTCTCCAGAAATATATTCAGAAAGAAACAGAATGTCTGAAAGCAGCAAAACCAAATGTGTCGGCTTCAACACAATCCTCCAGGCAGAAAAAGATGCAAGAAATCAGTAGCTTGGTGAAATACTTTATCAAATGTGCAAATAAAAGTAAGTGTTGTTAAACACATTTATATGGATCAGTGGGTTGCAGTTGCTTGAGTTTGATCTAAATATGGAGATGAAAAGTTAAGTGATCACTCTAATTTTCAATTAAGTGTAATAATTTCTAATACTGTAATGACAGTAACCACTCCAGAAAACAGCTCATTGCTATCGATACGGTTCTCACTCAGGCTGCCTTCTGTCAGGTTTCTGAGGCTGTAAATTTTTACAGGAGGAGACTGCCCATCTTTGTTGTGTGTAAGAACTGGTATATTTGGCCACCAGCATTTGAGTGTGCAACCCAACCTGTAATGAACTGCACAGCTAGAAACTGTTTACTTATTTATTTAAATAAATAAAAGGCTGACATTGTTAACATTTTTAAGTAGAAGCAGATAGATTGTTAATGAATAATAGTTTTGAATGGTGACGTGGACATAGGATAAAGAGCTGTGTGCAGTTTACCAGGTATTTTACTTTACCTCTCATTTACAGATTTTTTCAGGGATATTACTTTACCTCTCATTTACAGATTTTTTCAGGGATATCAGAGGAGACAAAAAGTACATGGAAATATTCTGCACTTGTTCTGTTATTTTGCCTTGTGTAGTAGCTGGGCAGCTGGTGAAATTTTGCATTTTTCACTAGTGGTGCTGAGGGAGAAAGTGAACAATTGGTAGCCTGTCAGAAAGGTTTGCCATTTATGATTTTTCCTTTCAATGTTAAACTCTTCAATTGGAAGATAAATGGTTGATATATTATGTAAAAATATATTAGTATAGCAAAGAATTGGTTTATAAGAAAAGGAGTGAAATGATTGATACAGGGTAATTAAATGTTTGTAACACTTTGCCTTCAAATTTGGTTTTGTACTTTAAACATTTTTGATGTAAAATGCAAAGCTACTTTGACCTCACCTCACTTCTTGAAAGTTTTGGAGATGTTAATGGGAATCTAAACACGTGTAGATTTTTGCCAGACTTACCCTCGCATTGGTATCCAGTTTATGATGAAAGAAGCTTGACTTGAAAAAAAGAATTGAAGGAAAAGGTAGCAGGGAAGGAACAAGTAAGCAGGTAGCACTCATTACTTTATGTCAGTCAGGATTTCTCTGCTTCTGCACAAAGCACAGAAAGAGCTTAGAGAGTAAACACCCAGGAAAAAGGTTTAGTACAGTAAACAAGGTTTTTAGAAAAAAATGTTAGTGTAAGTTTTAAAAGCACTTCTCAGTTGGCAGAGAGAGGAAATATATTGTGATAAAGAAAATAGGATAGCTTCCCAATATTTATGTACTACTTCAACACATGTTTATTGTACATTGACTATTGGGACCATAGCTGGTTTATATGTTCAGTATATAATGATTAGTTGTTTTCTTTGAAGAACTAGAAATACAGTAGAGCTTATAAATGAGAAAATGTGAAAAGGGCTGTCAGATGCAAAGAGTACTGTATTACTGACTAGGTGCTTAAAATTATAAAATATATCTTAAATGAGAATGATTTTGGAGTTACATTACTACATATTTTCCTACCATAGTTTGATACTTTTGAATATGAATTTCGCTTCATAAGAATGTAATATCTAATCTTATAGTATGAAAGTCTTAAATTAGAAGATAATTTAGATGTACATAATAAATTGTACTCTACTCATAGTTTATAATAGATTGCTCTGGTGTCTTAGGAGTACTGGTAAGGAGTTACTGTGCCAGTCCAAAGCCACAGAATTTGAATGCACCAGCTGCTTCAGAGAGGAAGATGGGCAGTCTCTTCCTGCGCCACTTACCGGCTGGAGGGCCAGCCATTAGAAGTTGGTTCCAACTTGATAGTCTGTAACAAAAATAATATACCTTATAACAAATAAGTTTTGTAGACCCTTTTAAGACTCTTTTAAAAAAAATTTATTATTATTATTAGTGTGTGTGTGTACACCATCCATTCAGATCTGACTAGTACAGGAGGAGGCGGCCCCTCCTTCTCGAGCAGAGGATCTGGTGGATTTGAATTGCACACCTCTGGGATGGCAAAGACTTAAGTATTGGAATACATTAGCACTTCAACTGTGAGAGCAATACGATTTGCTAACAATAAAAATTAAAGAAAGAATCTAAAGTGCAGTTGTACGTAGGATCACTATGAGTTGCAGGTGACTCCATGGCACATAAGAACAACAACAAAGTGTAGTTAATTTGTCTTCAAGAATATAAGTCCATAAAAAAAAAAGTCAGTTGATAATACACACATATCAAGGTGAAGAAAGGAAGAGGGACTATATGGTAAAGGGATGTTCAGCAAAATAACACTAAAAGAGCAGACACAAAGAAGTTCACAAATAGGAAATGTAGAGTTACAATGTGTGTATTTTAAAGAATGTCATAAACCAAAATGAATGGTTGGATGGAAAATGAATTAAAATAATTTTGCTCCATAAACTTGCACTCAAACCAAAATTTTAGGAAGTATGTATTTTTGAATATGTAAATTTATTAATGCTATTTTTTTGGATTTAATAGTAAGTAGGAAACTATGAACTTCGATAAAAGTTGATAATTGTAGAGGAGCTTCAGGCCTTTTGTTCTTAGGGTTGCTATGAGTTGTGCTTGACTTGAAGGCGGTCAACAACAACAGTAACTAACTACATTAAAGTTAAATTCTCTTTCTTAAAAAAATGTTATTCATTTTTTTGTGTGCATACCATCAAATTGGATCTGACTGATAGAAGAGAAGATTGCCCCTTCTTCCCTAGCAAAGCATCTGGTGGATTCAAACCCAGTACCTCTGGGATTGCAGTACAGCTTCTTTCCACTAGGCCACCAGAGCTACCTTAAAGTCTTACGTATTTTTGTATGTACATGCTGTTATTGAACTTAAAAGTAATTTTGCTACTTACAGTAAATGCTTTCATAATCTTAATGATTTTCTAATTCATTCTTTGCAAAGAATGTCAAAAGTCTTTGAGTCATTTTACATTTAATGTCTGAACTTGACTTATTAAGGCTAGAATGATTTCTGTTGTCATATGTTTCTACCCAAAAACTAAACAAGCAAAAAATCCAAATCCAATAATATATATTGTTTTTTACTTTTGAATCAGAATTAACTCATAGCTGACCCTTCAGTAGATGTTCACAGGCTGAACATCACATCCATAGTTGCTCATTTTTCCTTTCTCAGTGTAGCTGGTAGATTTGAACCCCCTACCTCTGGCTTAACAGAGCAACTCTGCACCCACTAGACCAGCAGACCTAGCTAATAATATGTTTTAGTTTATGTTACTAATGGCATCGAGGCAAAGGACTACACTGCCAGCCTGAATGCACACGGTTGGAATTCACTAGCTGCTCCATGGGACAAGGATAGACACTCTCCTCCTGTGTAGTTTACTGCCTCTGAAAACCAACTGCAGGGTCAGCGGTGAGTCAGTTCTGACTTGATGGCACATAACAATATAATTATATATGTGAGTGTATATATACACATGTATCTACATGGGTGGGCAAACATTTTTGGGAAATGATACAAATCTTAAATATGTTTGGTACTTACAGGCCTTTTTTATGCAAAGTATAACCTCTGCTCTTTTAGTACCCAAACCGCCAAGGTGGTTTTTTGGTGGTAGAGGACTGTAGAGTCAGAACCAACCCATAGCTGACTCTCTGGCCAGTTTTCAGAGACAGTTGCATGGGAGGAGATTGCTCATCCTTTTTCCATGGAGCAGCCAGTGGCCTTGAACTGCATACTTTCAGGATTGTACTGCAGCTTCTTGCCACTAGAACTCTCTAAAACAGCCGTAGATAATGTAGAAATTGAAGGTGAGACTGTGTTTTATGAGATCTTTATTTACAAGAATAGGAAGCTAGTTGAATTTTACCTGTAGGTCATAGCTCACCATCCACTTTTTTATAAGATAATAATAGTAATTTATAAACTGACATAATTTAAATTTCCTATTTAAAGTTTTCTTAGTTTATTTGCATTAACATTTTATGTTTTGTTTATATAATTTCTCAATAGGAGCACCCAGGCTAAAATGTCAAGAACTCTTGAATTATGTCATGGATACAGTGAGAGATTCATCTAATGGTGCCATTTATGGAGCTGATTGTAGCAACATACTGCTCAAAGACATTCTGTCAGTGAGAAAATACTGGTGTGAAATATCTCAGCAACAGTGGCTAGGTATGTTTTGAAGTTTCTTGTTGGTGAATTTTTCTTGTAAAATGAAATTTTAATATTAAAAAAAGGCTATCAGAGTCACTTTCAGCATCCAGATGACCTTGTAGGCACCTTGTTGAACAGTACCCTAGCAAATGAAAGTAGTTACAGAATTGTTGCGGAATGTTGGGGAGGAAGGAAGGGTCTTTGGCCAAGACAGATCACCTAAGCTCCAGATAAGTGCAAGCCTCCCAGTGGCCTTTAATATGGGGTAGAGAAAGCTCTCCTGTGTTTGGCTGTACTGGCTTGAGAAAGCTCGTCACCTGGGAAGATGCCTGCCCTGTCAATTGTGCTGGGAGTGGTCTGCATGAGGCTGAGTTTCTCCTAACCAGTCCACCTGTCCCACGTCTGTAAGCCCACCTTGTCCTGTTTTCCTGTGTATATAAATGCAGTACTTACCCCAATAAAACCGAGCTGAATTGACTCTCTGATCCTCTCCCCGAGTGGTGTATCTCTGTTGTGCTTACTCCCATCAGGGTGTCGCTGTAGATTGCTGGCAAACAGACGTGACACAGAATCCGTGCCTTATTTTTCCTCAGTTAAGTACCAGTTGAGTTATTAGATCACTAATATTTTATCAATGCCTGTTGTCAGAACTGAAGGTAACAGAGTTGAAAGATGCCATTTCTGCCCTTGTTGTTGTTATGTGCAGTTGAGTCGCTTGAGACTCACAGTGATCTTATGTACAAGAGCCCTAAACCTTGCTCTGTCCTGCGCCAACTGCACTGTCTCTGACACACCTACTCCCACCACCCTAGTCACTGAATCACTGACTTTCCTCTCCTCTCCTCTCCTGCACTGTCCCTCCACTTTCCCAAAAATGATGTCCCTCTCCAAGGACTGGTCCCTCCTTGCAACATGCCCAAAGTATGTCAGACGAAGCTTCAGAATCCTTGACTTCAAGGAGCAGCCCCGCTTCACCCTCTCCGGGACAAACCTGTTTGTTTTTCTAGCAGGCCATGGTAAATTCAGCACTCTTCTCCACACCACAGTTCAAATGCATCAGTTTTCTTTCTGTCATCCCTAGTGACTGTTCAGGTCTCCGATGCATAGCTCGCAATTGTGGAGACTATAGCCAGGATCAGGTGCACCTTAGTCTCCAGTCTGACGTCATTGCTCTTCAGAACTGGAGAGGTCCTTGACAGCTGACTTTCCCAGTGCAATTTGTCTCTTGATTTCCTGAATGCTGGTACCAAGAGTGTTGACTGTGGAGCCAAGCAAACTGAAACTGTTAACTATCTCAATCTCTTCATCATCCATACTGATGCTATCAATTGGCCCAGTGGTGAGAACATTTATTTTCTTGATGTTGAGCTTTAATCCATATTGAATGCTGCAGTCCTTGACTTGCTACAGCAAGAGCTTCAGGTTCTCCTCAGTTTCAGCAAGCAGAACTGTATCATCTGCATAATGCAGGTTGTTGATGAATCTTCCACCAGTCCTTAAGTCACATTCCTCCTTCTACAGCCCAACGTCCTGGATGTTCTGTTCTGCATACAGATTGAAAAGGTATGGAGACAGAATACATTCCTGGTGGACCCCCTTCTCAATTTTGAACCATGCAGTGTCTCCTTGCTCTGTTCTGACGACTGCCTCTTGGTCCAAGTAAAGGTTCTGCATAAGCATAATCAAATGTTCTGGGATTCCCATTCTTCTCAGAGTCAGCTATAGTTTGTTGTGATCCATAAAGTCAAAAGCTTTTGCATAATCAGTGAAGCACAGATAAACATTCCTCTGGTATTCTATGCTTTCTGCCAAGATCCATGTGATATTTGCTATAATATCCCTGGTACCATGACCTCTTCTAAATCAAGCCTGCACATCTGGCAGTTCTCTGTTGATGTGTTGCTCCAGTCGTTTTTTGATGATGTTCAGCAGAATCTTTCTTGCATGTGATATTTCTGCCCTTAAAGAGTTGATAAATCTAGTGGGAGATAAACAAACAGAAAACATCAAATAAACCTGAACTTACAATGCAGTGTGGTAATCATCCAGCAGTTGTAGATACAGTGGTACATAGAATTATGAAAACTTGGTTATGATTAAAGCAGTAAAACCAAAAGAGATACTTTTCCTTTGTCGTGAAAGTAAAAATGAGATAATTAAATTGCAAAGGATATGTTTGAGATTTTAAATCAAAGTAGAAAGCATATGATAGAAAAATATCCATTGAATTAGGTAATTTAAAGATCAGGGGTAGAATAATGTGTATAAAAAATATTGGAGTAGACAGCCGACACCTCGTCTGCCCAGGAGCACAGGCCCCTTCGCATAGTCACCGCTGCCGGTTCACACCCGCCACCCCCAGCTCACCATGGATGATGACATCGCTGCGCTCGTGGTCGACAATGGCTCTGGCATGTGCAAGGCCGGCTTCGCGGGCGACGACGCCCCCCGGGCTGTCTTCCCCTCCATCGTGGGGCGCCCTAGGCACCAGGGCATGATGGTGGGCATGGGCCAGAAGAACTTCTACGTGGGGGACGAAGCCCAGAGCAAGAGAGGCATCCTGACCTTCAAGTACCCCATTGAGCATGGCATTGTCACCAACTGGGATGACATGGAGAAGATCTGGCACCACACCTTCCACAACAAGCTGTGTGTGGCCCCCGAAGAGCTCCCTGTGCTGCTGATGGAAGCCCCCCTGAACCCCAAGGCTAACCGGGAGAAGATGACCCAGATCATGTTCGAGACCTTCAGCACCCCTGCCGTGTATGTCGCTATCCAGGCCGTGCTGTCCCTGTATGCCTCTGGCCGAACCACTGGCATTGTGATGGATTCCAGCGCTGGGGTCACCCACACTGTGCCCATCTATGAGGGGTACGCCCTCCCCCATGCCATCCTGCGTCTGGACCTGGCTGGCCGGGACCTGACGGACTACCTCATGAAGATCCTCACCAAGCGAGGCTACAGCTTCACCACCACTGCTGAGCAGGAAATTGTGTGTGACATCAAGGAGAAACTTTGTTACATTGCCCTGGACTTCGAGCAGGAGATGGCCACGGCGGCTTCCTCTTCCTCCTTGGAGAAGAGCTACGAGCTGCCTGATGGGCAGGTCATCACCATCGGCAATGAGCGTTTCTACTGTCTCGAGGTACTCTTCCAGCCCTCCTTCCTGGGCATGGAGTCTTGTGGCATCCATGAAACTACCTTCAACTCCATCATGAAATGTGATGTTGACATCCGCAAGGACCTCTACGCCAACACAGTGCTGTCTGGCGGGACCACCATGTACCCAGGCATCGCCGACAGGATGCAGAAGGAGATCACAGCGCTGGCCCCCAGCACGATGAAGATCAAGATCATCGCTCCCCCTGAGCGCAAATACTACGTGTGGATCGGCGGCTCCATCCTGGCCTCCCTGTCCACCTTCCAGCAGATGTGGATCAGCAAGCAGGAGTACGACGAGTCTGGCCCCTCCATCGTCCACCGCAAATGCTTCTAGGAGGACTGTTTAGTTGCGTTACACCCTTTCTTGATAAAAAAACCTAACTTGCGCAGAAAAAAAACCACAAAGGATGAGAATTGGCATGGCTTTATTTGTTACTTTTTTAAATTTAAAAAATTTTTTTTTTTTACACTTGACTCAGGGTTTAAAAACTGGAACGGTGAGGGTGACAGCAGTTGGTGTGGAGCAAGAATCCCCCCAATTCTCCAATGTGGCCCAGGACTTTGATTGTACATTGTTCTCTTTTTTTAAAATAGTCATTCCAAATAATCAACTTGGCGATGTGACAGGAAGCTCCTGCCTTTCCAGAATCCTCTCCCTTCCCCTAAGTAGAAGAGCCCCGTCCCTCACGCATGGACAGGGGTGGCAGGGAGCATTGCTTTTATGTAAATTATACCTTATCCAGGTTTTTGTTTTTGTTTTGTTTTTTTGTTAAAAAATCTTCCGCCTTAAAAAAAAATATTGGAGTAGGAGATAGCAGACCTAATAATAGACCGAGTTTTACCAACTTATTCTTGAAAGATACTGAGAAATACAGGAGGGAAATTAGTGGAATATTTGAGTTTATTTTCATGGGCTGAGAAGTTCTCTTAGTGTTGAGTAGATCACAATGAGATTTGGCATTATGTTTTTGTAGAATTCTGAGCATCACAGAAGTAAAAATTAACCACAAAATCCGGAGGCCAGAAAGGTCCAGAAGTTCATTGTGTGAAACCGCTCTGTAATTTTCAACAGTAATTGTTCCTCCTTTTCCTCTTTACCTAAAACTCCCATCTGTGTATTTAGGGATTGCTGATTTTCTGGAAGGTTCTCAAGAAGCTCATGCAGTTGTTGACATTATCAGGCAGGGCTGAGGCAGCTAACTTAGGCATGGGAGGAGGCTGTCCCAAGCAAGTGGAGAGAGAGAGTCCCTCAGATATAAACTATGGGCCCAGGAGAACTAAGGATGATGCTTTGGGCCATGGCTTACTGGAATATTTGTCGTTGTTGTTGAGTGCCGTCGAGTCGTAGGCAACTCATAGCGACCCTATGAACGGAAGTCCTTGACACTTGCATGTGTGACTTTCATCCTTTCTCCCGGTTCATAGGGTTTCCGGAAGCAAGCTATTTATGGAAGTGGATGCCACTCCTGCTTACAAGCTTGTTTTAACTGGGGAGTGCCACCAAACACTGTCCACCATGGGTAACCGTTATCGCATTTGACACATCAGTGTCACAGGGTTCAGCTTCACAGCAACCACAGGTTACCATTGTATGGCAAGTGGACATACCAGGGCCACATGACCTAGAAGAATGTTTGACCAACAACAATTTAAAAAAGGCCTTAGGGCTGCAGATTAGTAACCCACTTTTAGCTTGGTAGCATCACTTTCGATCCACTAGGCCCACTGGTCTCTTTCCGTGTTGTTGAGTGCCATCGAGTTGTAGGTGACTCATAGCGACCTTACAAACACAACACTTGTGTGCGTGACTTTCATCCTTGCTCCAGGTTCATAGGGTTTCCGGAGGCAAGCTATTT